ATAAATGTGCACACCTCTAGGGATCTAGATACATATACACATATGCATATGTAATATGTGTACAAGCATTGGTTTTGCTTCTCTAGAAGACTAACACTTCTCTGCTGGGTTTAATCATTTGTTACTGTGAATCCACACAGAGCTCACAGACCACATACACAATTAGGGGGCTATGCGGGAGGTAGCTGGCTCCCACTCAGGATCCGGATGAACTTGGAAGTAAAAGGGACAATGGTCAGGAGATATGGTCCATGCCACTCATTAGTCAGGGCATCTTGCAAACAAGATAACCCTCAGATTTGACTATGTCCACAGGTAGCCTCGACCCCTCGGGGGGGGCCTCCCCCGCCAGGTCAACTGGTGTTCCTTCTCTCTGCAACTGGACCTTGCTGTGTCACCCTGGGCCTCACCTCTGCCACTGGGCCTTCCTGGACCTCTGCTCATCTCCAGAATGTGTTACAACCCTTTTGGCTCTGCCATGTGCCTCTAGGCACCTGGCTTTGCCAGCAAGCCCCCTGCCAGAAGTGCTCAGCTCTCTGTCTCTCTGTGGTCCAGCAAGCATCCTGTGCTGTCTGTCATTTGTATTGCTGCTAGCTTATGCTGGTTTGCACTGTCTTCAGTGTTACAGCTCTTGGCCCACATTACAGACTTTTTTCAGAGGTTGGCTCTCGCTTATGGCCTCTCTGTAAACCTTTGTTGGGGTTGGCTGCTTAGATAAGAAAGTTCCTTATCAATTTCAGACCTAACTCGCCCCGTCAGACCACAAACCAAACCAATTTCACAAGATCACTTATTACTAGTGGGTGGTTTTTCACACCTTATTTGCATAGTAAACTGACCAAATACCTGCAAGGTACATAAAATAGATCAATTACATGGCAAGTTGTGGCCTAACCAATCATTTCTGGCAGAATTGTAAGCCCGAACCAGGAAGGTCATATATAAAGAAGCCCATTTACCTCAAAACTCCCTCTTCTAGGGACTTAGGAAAATGCAGAAAGCCTTTTGTGTGTAGGATTTCTGGTCAGAGAGGAAACCAAGGCAGGCCTCTCATCTCTGAGTGGATCCGCGACAGCAGAAGAGACTTGGGAGCCCCCGGGAGAAAAAAATGGGTTTGTGGAGGAGGTGTGTGGGTGGGGGTGATGAGGGACCGTGGACATCATTGGGGGTGGATGACACCCACATGTCAGAGTGGGGTTCTCTTCCAACCTCCCACACCTCATTACCATTCACCAGGGGGGCAGGACCAGAAGCCCTGGTGAAGTAGTGGTCACATTCATTTGTGATCCTAAAGGGCAGCAGTTCGAAACCACCAGCCACTCCGAGGGTCAAAAATGAAGCTTTCTACTCCTGGAAGCCCAGAGTAATGGCGGCTGCCCAGGTGATGGTAGAGGTCATTGGTGGTTGGTGTCAGCGGCCATCACGTTGACCGCATGCACGGTGGACAGAAACACTGCCTGGTCTGGGCCATCCCCATGACGGTTGTATGTGGGACCCTTGCGATCCACAGGGTTTTCACTGAGTGAAGTCAATCCTAGGTCCCCTTGCTCTGAAATTTCTGCTAAAACCGGTTCAGCACCAGGCCTGCCTCCTCCGACAGATGGCTGGTGGATGCACGTGAGGTGTCCTGGTTGGGAAATTAACCCATGTCACCTGCCTGAAGGTGACAGTTCTCCCGTGGAGCCACTGCTGGTCCCCAGAGGCCACTACTAGAGGACTCAAACAGCCAGGAAGGCAGGGACTGTTAGCAGGCCAGTGCAGCGGGCTCTGGGCACCAACTTAGAGTGTTGGGATCACAAGCCACACCCCGAAGCCTGGTTGCAGTGGCAGATGGTTAGGTCCTCATTTCTTAAGTTGGTTCTCTTCAGCCCACAAAGGGTAGTTCTACTGCTGTCTGTCCTTGTTTTTGGCTTGTAAAGGGCAGACACAAATTTGGAGGAGAATACGTTACCTTGTATCTACTGTGTACCCTCACTCTCAAAGTGTTAAAGAGATCTCTGGCAGTGGCAGGAAGTCTCTTAAAGCTTCCCTTACCATGTCTGACAAATGCAGTCCAGGCTCCTTTGCCAAGAATGTGGGATTTGCAATTCCTGGTCAGTGTTTACGGATGGCCCGCTGCCGTTTGCTCGGGGATCCACTTAGGTATGGAATGTTCTGATAGGCCCTAGCAGGAGCAGCTGTCAGACAATTGGAAAGGGTAGAGAGACAAAAATATATACGTGGAATAAAACTCAGCATTTAAAGAAATAAACAAAACCCAAAGTGTGACAGAGCAAACATTTCCTTCTGAGGAGTAAGGTGCCCCTGGTATTTTCCTGGCCATGGTATTTCCACGGCCTCACGTGCGTGCGTGGGAAAGATGCACAGAGGAGGAGGAAGGTCAAAGAAGACTCGGTGCCTTCGAGCCACGGTGTTGCTGAAGAAGACTGACTGCACCCCGGGCTTCCAGATGAGCGACTGAAATGATTTTGGAAGAAGTACTGCCAGAGTGCTCCTTAGAAGAGAGGGTGACAAGACTGCACCTCACGTACAGGTTGTCGGGAGAGTTCAGTCCCTGGAGAAGGACGTCATGCTTGGTCAAGTAGAGGGCAGTCCAAAGAGAAAGACAAGACGGAGTGATCCAGGGTCTGCAGCAAGGAGCTCAAGCATAGGAAAGACTGTGAGTAGGATGCAGGCTTGGGCAGTGTCCTGTCCCATTCAGTGAGGTCCATGGTGTGTTGGAACTGGCTAATGGCACCCAACACTAGTAATGAGCTTGACACTGTTCACTGGTTTCTTTGCCTTTTTGCTTCTTCCTCTTCTACTCGCAGTGATCCTCACCCCCTTGGCTTCTTACAGATAATGGCTGATCTTAAAAATAATCATCAGAACCACCGAGCCACAGCCCACAGGGCCCTGGAGTCTCTCTCTTCCTGGTCTCCTCCCTCTTCCTCTCCCTCCCACCGGGCAGTGTGTCCTACTGGGGTGGCTTGCATGCTGCTGTGATACCAGAAGCTATGCCTCTGGAATTTCAAATGCCAGCCGTGTCACCCCTGCTGAAGAGGTTTCAGGGAGCTTTCACATTCAGACAGAAGGAAGAAAGCCCGCGGGGAAAGAGAATCCAGGGGATTGAGTTGAAAAAATACAGGTTATGTAATTTTCCTTAAATATCGAAGCATGCACAGTTAATTCTTTTTAAAGGGAAACCACAAAGTGGTGTAAATAAGAAAATGAATCCCATAGAAGCCAACCACTAATAGGCAATAGTCATATGTCAGCACGCTTCCTCCCTTCCAGGCTTTAAAAATAATGTATAGCATCTGCTGTATATGCTGCAGGGCCTGGTCTCCCAAACTTGACGTGGTAAGGATTGGCTTTCACGTTGTAGCAAATGGATGGTGTGGCAAAATCCACTCCCATCGTGAAGATAAGTATGGTCTCAATGACTGTCTACGAGCACTTCTGCACTCCACAAAAGGCGCCCTGGTAGAATCATGGATTATGTGTTGAGCTGCTAACTGCAAGGTTCGCAGTTCAAACCCACCAGTTTCTCTGAGGGAGAACAATGAGGCTGACCGTGCCTGTAGAGTCACAGCTGTTATGAGTCAGAATTGACTCGATAACAGTGGAGAGAGAGTACCTGGCACAACAGGTGGCTAGTGCCTTAGGAGAAAGGCTTAGCAGTTTACTCCCAAGAGGCCGCAGGTAGGAGAAACCCCATGAGCAGCTCTGCTGAGAAAGCATGGGTCAGACTTGTACTCTGAAACCCGTGGGATTGACCAACTTAGAACCACTGATTCAGTTCACTGGTTTACGTCGAATCATAGCCTCTCATAAGTACCACGACGTCACGGACCACTTTCTCATTGTTCGAGGTGTGGATTCTAGTCAAAGCTACAGGGAACATTTATATGCATAAAGCGTCTCTGTGGTTCAGCTCCTGTGCTCCGGTTAGACTCCACAGAGCACAACGACTCTGCAAAGCTGGGCCTGGTGCAAACATGTCCAAAGTGGCTGTGTGAAGCGGTGCCACACCGCTCTTGCCCGCAGACCAGACGTCGAGTTCTGGAATACCACCTCGGTCCCCACCCCTCCATTGGCTCCTATCTCCTTCCTCCCCACGCCCAGGCCCAGAGCGATTTCCTTCCCAGGGTCTCCAGGCTTCGTATCCGGAGCCTTCTTCCTCCCCTGCCCCTTGGCAGGCTTCCAGCCGGACAGTTCTTCCAGGGCGCTGTCACGTGACTAGAATTTGGGAACTACCCCTTCTCACTGCCATCCCCCAAGCTGGTGGGCAACTGCCATGACGTTTTCCAGAGTCACCGGGCCCACCACCTGCAGGACAGGAAAGGCGTTCGTTCGCCCACTCGGAGGCTGGGATGTGGGTGCCCAGATTGGGAGACTTGGGAGACTTGGCGCGGCGGTGGCTGAGTGGTGGTGGACACTGCCACTACATGGAGCCGGGTCACTAACCGCTAGACCACTCACAGAACAGTCGGGGACGTGCCTCGGAAGAAAGGCCTGGTGGTCCCCTTCCGAACCGCCCCAGCCCTGGGATAAAAACCCAAAGGGACTCAGTTCCACTCTGGGCACAGGGGCTCAACAGCAACTGACAACGGGCTCAACAGCAAGTGACAACAGACTCCAAGGCGACGGGGTTGAGGTTAGGATTTTGCGCCCTTGTCCTTGAGAGATGTTGTCCAGGGCATCGCCCTTCAGCGCCCCCCACCCCCCTACGGGAGTCCTCTGGGATGGGTCCCTCTTCCTGGGTGTTCCTTCTAGTGGGGACTGGTTTTGGGGACCCTGTGCTAACTCCGTGCACATCAAAGCGCTTCCCGGGCAGGTCTGCGGAGACAGCGTTGGCTGGGACCTCGGACCGCTGTGAGTGGGCGTGGCTGGGGCACGGGTCACCACCGGCGGGCAGGCGGCAGGCGGGCGGGCGGGCAGGAGCGTCGGGGCAGCGCACCACCCCTGCACTGGGCACCGCCTCCTGGCTCTGGCCGCCACTGCAGCCCTCGGCGCGCCGACTCCGCTCCTCGCCCGGCTCTCCCAGCGCCCCAGATCCCGATCCCGGTAAGTCAAAGGCTGTTGCTTCTTTCCTGACTGGGGAGTCAAGAGTTGGTGGTCAGTAGACCGTCCTGAGGCCCGGCTCCCTCTGTGTGGGCAGGATGCATGCATGCGAGGTCCACCTCAGCCATCCTTTCCTCTGTGCTCTACACTTGGAAACCACAGGCACAGGAAGACATCTCACCAAGGGATCACAACAGAACTAACCCCCACCCCAGCCCCCCAGCAGGATGAGTTAGCACATTCCTGTAGAACATTTGGAAACGTCTATAAGCCTAACAGGAAAATTAAAGCCACTCACCCACAATGCGGGCCCCCAGCAGACTTAGGTAACACTTGAACACACAGTTGGCTCAAAGAGAGAGTTGTTTGTTTGATTTTGTTCGTTTGTTTGTTTGTTTTGGGGTCCAAGAAAGATCCTGGGCTTTGGCATCTCCCAGGGACAGGGCATGGGACCGACCATCATGGGTAGACTGTGAGTGATTGAGGTCATGGGGGGATGGGGGAATTTTTACAAGCCATAGGTGCATTGCCTCCAATTTTTCAGTGTTAGAATTGCGGGCAGAGCTGTGTCCCCACGGTGTTTTATTGGGGAGGGACCGTGTCTGAAACCATAGCTGCATTTATGGCCTCTGGGATACATTCCATTGACCCCAACCTCATGTGTTTCCAAAGAGAATTGCACTTTATAGGCTCCCCCACCACCACCCTTTTTCTTTCAAACAATTAGTTTTACTGTGCGCTAATGAACCCAACCCACAATTCAATTGTTCACTTGCAGTAGGAAGGGTTGTGCAGTCATCACGGCAATCAACTTTGGAACATTTCTTCCTCCTCACTCTACCCACCCTCCCCAGTGCGCCCCCTCCCCCGGTCATTGTTGTTCAGTGATCGTCTTCATAAACCCACCCTTCCTGGCTTCCCCGTGCAGAGAACACACAAGAGGAGGGAACAGCATCACCACCATCTAAAGCAGAGACAGACTTCCACTTAAGAAAAGCAGAGGATATGAAAAATGTAGAATAAATTGAAAACGGGTCCATAGGAAGATCTAACAATAGGGTGTTATATCCAGTCTCAGTACAGCTGCTAAGAATCACCTTACAGTGCTCTGTGTCTGATATTAGAGATGTTCACATTCCTAGTCCATGGACCTTCAGGGGTTTCCCACCCCCACCCCAAAATATAGACAGGCCTTTCTTCCAAGGTGCCTCTAGGTGGACATACCTTGTCACTGGTCATTTAGCAGCTGAGTGTCCTGTTTTCATTCCCGAGGCCTCTGGGGGCCATAGGACACATACTCGTATTCCATATCCACAGGATTGCTCTGACCGGGTGTGATGAATGAGTGCCTGTGATCTAAGGATTGCCAATGACGGTAGAGGCCTCTACTTCCTCTGGTCTGTCCCATGCTCCTCATCAAGGGAGCGGAGACTGGGAGACTGGGTTGAGGACGGCCTTCTCAACTTCCAGCGGAAGTAACCTCGAGACTATTCAGGTCTGTCTTGCTCTGGCCACAGGACTGGAGCGTGAATGGTTTGGAAAATAAAGTACCCCTTGAGGACATCGGGTGACACACATGGCTTACACTCAGCTACTATCCAAAAGCTTGGCGATGTGAACCCACCCAATGGTGCCGTGGAGAAAAGGCCTGGCTCTCTGTGCCCACAAAGATTATAGTCGAGAAAAGCGTGTGGCGCAGCTCTGTGCTGCAGGAGTCAGAATAGACTGCATGACATTGGATTTGAGTCTGGTGTTTTGAAAACACCCCCACGCCTGTCATCTTACGTCTGTGATGGGAGATTGGGGGAAATTGGTTTCTATGTGGGCCATGGCGTTCAGATAGTTGAGTGGGACCTTTATTCATGCGTGCATGCATGCAGTAGCTCTTTTTTGAGCTTCAACTGTATGTCGGAATTGACTTGATAGCAGTGCATATGAAGTTTACTGTACGCCAGACAAAGTCCCCCAGCTGTACAAACAAGGGGTATTCGATTACTAACCTGAAGAGGGGTACTTTGAAGTCACTTTGTGTAGCTACCGAGGGCAGGCCTGGTGGCCTGCTCTATAGTGATTACCGAAGAGCACTGCTCTCCATGCGTGGGCTGCCGTGAGGAACCACATATCTAAAGATGCCAGCTCTTGAGACGCTGGCATTGTAGGGGGGAAGATAAGCAATCAACAGTGAGCAAAACGGATCCGAAAACCGTCAGAAGTGACTGTCCTGGCAGTTCGGTGCCATTGAGTGGGTTCCAACTGTTCAGTGGACTCAGCACCAGTGGTCCAGTGCCATGCTCACGGTCATTCTTCTGTTGGAGCCCACAGGGGGCAAGATACAGGGGAGCAGGGTAAAGAGTACCAGGAGCAGCTGCTGGGGGATTGACAGTGTGCTCTCCCCGGCTGGCAGAGGCTAGAAGATAGTGCCGACCTCACATGCTTTTGCAGAGACCCCACGGGGAAGAAGCCTCCCTGAATTCTCCCGGACCATTGAGCAGGGTTGTGAGAAATCCTGCCCTCTGAGCGCAGAAAGATACAGCCAGGTTAAAATTGAACATCTTAAATGTGTTTTCCTTTTTGACCCGTTCTTAAATTGTTCTAGCTTTTATTATCTTCTGCTTTCTTTTGGATTAAGGTTCTTTCTGTTTTATTTTGTAATTTTCAGGGGGTATGATTGTCTTGATATGAAATCCAGGATAGGCAGATCTGTAGAGGTTAGGTAAGTAGATCAGTATTTTCCCAGGGTGATGGCAGGGGAGATTGGCTGGGTAGGAAGAACTAATAACAGTGAGTACAAAAATGAAGAAAATGTTCAATCAATTGTAGTGATGATGGCACAACTCTTCATAATATAATAAAACCATTGACCTGCATGGTATATGAATCGTATGTCAATAAAATTGTTTTTTTTTAAGTGTGCTACATTATGAATAATTGCAGATTGCCTTAAATCTTTTTCTGGACCAAGACGCATTGCCATTACAAGGGGGCTTCAAAAAGTTCATGGGAAGATCCCATTCTCCTCTAACTCATAATTGATAATATAAAGTTTATAGCCTACACACACAGCACTGCAGGAGGTTTTTATTTGGTTATCCAACAATCCGCCAGTGTATCATACTTGGTCAATGACTCTCTCTCACATTCGCCTCGTTGTAGTGGGGCTAATACTTTGCATTCCCATTTAATTCTGCAAACCTTATTGAATCGGTGCTGGGCAGAGAACAAAGGTGCAGCGAGACGGTCTCTGACCTTCAGACGCCCGAGGAAGGAACTGCCCAAACAAGCACACAGCACATCAGAACAGGATCAGTGTGGGCGGAGTATAGACAAGGATCTGGGAAGAGCAGGGGGGTGGGGGTGGGGGTGGGGGTGGGGGCAGAGGGACAGACAGGCAAGCTGTCATTCATGCCCAGCTTGGGATAGGGGAGGACTCGGGAAATGGCAGTGAGTGAGTGAGTGAGTGAGTGAGTGAGTGAGTGAGTGAGTGAGTGCAACATAAGCAGAAATAGGGGCCAGGCCCCCACCTGGAGAGAATAAAAAAGCCAGGTCAGAGGTAAACTAATAGCGGGCAGATTCACGCCTCACCAAACCCTGTGGTATCATCAGAGTGGATTTCATTATTCTCAGATTTCAGATCAAGGGAGGATTGAATTTGCTGAAGGTAAGAGTCCTTTCTGCCCTCTCCTAAGTGACTTCAACTGCCTGTCTCTTTCAGCATCCTAATGCATCTCTTCCCTTCCCCAGATGCTCCCCAGCTCCACCCTGTGGAGCCGGATGGAGTTTCTCTCTCCACGCACTGCCTCTGACTCCCTGAGAGTGCTCTATCCAGCCCTTACACCCTGAAGGCCGTGTGACCACCCCCAGAGGGATGCTGGAAGCTTCTGGCCAAATGGCCAGACCTGAGCAAGGAGGCTGCAGGAAAGCCTGTTCAGATCTGAGAGAGACAATTTGTCATGTGCCTCTGTGTGCCTCAGTTTCACTATGATTTCTTCAGAGCCCTGGTCATCTTAGAGCAGTGGTTCTCCACCTTCCTCATGCCATGGCCCTTTATACAGTTCCTCATGTTGTGGTGACCCGCCAACCATAAAATAATTTTCATTGCTACTTAAATAATTGTAATTTTACTACTGTTATGATTTGGGCTACCCCTGTGAAAGGGTTGTTCAACCCCCAAATGGGTCACAACCCACAGGTTGAGAACCGCTGTCTTAGAGACTCACTGCCTCAGAGGACAGGGAAAGGTAGGAGGTTCTAGTTGACTTCTTTTCTTCTATATAGTTAACCTGCTTCCAAATTTGGACAGGAAGGCCCTGGGTAGTGAACATCTGACTTCTGGACAACTCCTGCTTGTCTTTTAACGGAGGGCACCAGTTTGGTACTGGCCAATGGAGAGAGGCAGGACCAACCCAAAGTTGTAATGTGGATGATTCATCTTGGTAAGTGGGAAGGACGTTTTACAGGCGGAGCACTAGCGCAGGAGACTTGGAAGAGGCATAGAGAGTCTATTCTGGAACCTGACCACTGAGCTTGGGTTAATGGTAGGATGGGCAGAGTGACACTTATCGAAAGTGGCCTGGTTGGCCACCATCTTTGAGCCAAGTGCTACCATCTTTGAAGCCCTGCTTTTATGTAGTATAAACTTGCCCCTGCTTTGAAACAATTGAACCAACCACATGCTTAGCAACAAGTTTGTTACCACAGTCCATTTAACTGGCTGCATGTGGACCTTTTAAATTATTGAAATGGCTTTGAGCTTTTCTTGCACTACATCAAATCAACCCAACCCACTGGCATGGAATCGGTTCCCACTTATAGCAACCTTATAGAACAGAATGCAAAGTCATGCAACTGTGTGGACCACAACCAACTATGGATAACACTAGAAGAGTGGGAATTCCAGAACACTTCCCTGTACTCACGAGGAACCTGTGCATGCATCAAGAGGCAGTTGTGGGAACAGAACAAAGGAATATTCCCTGATGTGAAGACAAGGAAGGTGTGTGTCA